ATAGAAAGATTTCCATTAAGGGTTAAAGGCATTTGCAAAAGGTTTGCTAGATAGAGAATAGTTGGCTCTGTTATGTGAGACACATCTGAGCTTCTGCACAATAAGTCACAGTGACAAATTCACCAAAGAGAAAAGAATGTTTAAAAGGGATTCCCTATTTGATGCCCTCTTCACATCTCAGGTGGCTGCTCAAGTGACTTCAAATGGGCGGAGTTTAGAAGGCACAGACTCTTCACCCAGCCACTGAGAAGGCCCTCTAGGCAGCTTTGATATCGGTGCATCGGGGTGTCTCTCGAGGAAGCTCTTTGCAAAGTCCACCTAATTGGTGCTTCTAAAAGTCGTGGTATATCAAGAAATCGGGGTGCTTAGCACTCTCCCTCACCACTGGCGGGCCTAATACATGCAGCAGATGGATCTGTAATGCTCAAGTGTTATGCAGCTCAGAGGCATCAAGAAGTATTGGGTAGTCGAAGATATCGTCTCTGAATTTTGGCGCTGATCTGCTAACGACATGGCGAATATAATGGTAATCGAACAGGAGAAGTTGCTGCATTACATGGAGGTAGCTGTTTCATTCACTGATGGCGATGAGGTTGTCAAAGCGAAGGCGCATCTATGTAAATCGCGTCGATGGTATCACACGCTGGTAAGATCCAGTGTCGAATTGGTGGATCTTCTTGATCTGGTGTTGGAGAAGAAGCACTAATCATACGTCACAGTGATGATCCACCCTTCATACAGATTCATTTCTTTGTTTTCATCCTTGGTGACTAAATGCTCCCTTCTATCACTTCATCAATGAAGTGAATTAATGCTATGTGAAGGAGATGAAGTGCCTAGTACACCGTATGTGTAAAGTCAATTCGGATGGTGCCTAGAAATTTGGCACATTTGTCAAGGACAAATTTCACTCCATGTCTGGAGTGCCGAGTATATTAGAAAAAGTAGGATATTGTAATCTCTCCTGTGATCAGATCCCGTTTACCCTTAAGGCACTGGTAAGCCAGTGCACAGCACTCACATTGAACTAATGGCTATTCGTGAAGGCATATAGAGAGATGCAAAAGTCAGCCTTACAAATTCATGCGCAAATGATTGGCTGTCCCTGTGCCAGTAAAAGTAAAACACAGTTCTTGATTAAGAGCCCCAAAATGAAGAGAAAAATAGAATTTGGTCCAAACGTAGTGACATAGAATAAATGTGTAGGAAAAGCAGAAAGATCGAGATTTGGTAGCGAAATTAAAGGAAATTGCCGAGAAGTATTTGAAAGTGAATATCACATGAGAGAAAAGAGGCGAAAAGAGGGCAGAGGAGGTAAGTGAAATGAAGTGTATGGGCATGGGATGTGTAAAAGTGAGCCAGCAACCCCGAGCATTCCGCATCCGTCACCAGCAGCTGTACTAACCCGGCCCGACGTAGCACAACCTGGACGGTGTGACGGCAACCACAGGCCG